CTCTCAGTGGTGAGGATGCTAATCGGCTTTCTGTATTCAACCGTCAGTAGCTCATGTATGGTGAAAATATCAGGTGAGCAATGACGAGGTTCTCCATATGTTGGCTGCTGATAATCGTTCTGTAAAAAAAGTCATTGCTCTACACCGCCTCCGATGACTTAGTCACGTTTTGCATATGCCTACCGATCGTCTACCTTTCCGTGCTCTCTTTGCACCTGCCGGGCAAGATTGGAAGAAACGTCACGACTGTCAGACCATGATATAGCGTAGAGTTATGAACGAGCTAGCTTCAGGTTTGGTTTCGGCTGGTGCAATCCGCCTTCTAGGTTGGGTTAGAGAAGTTAAAAGGTAAACTAACACAAGGAAAACTTGCTTTGCTGATAGGCTTCAAGAGGAAGAAGAAGGCCTTCGTAAAAATGGATTTCCGGATAATTTTTTGATTTTCGTAGCAGACCAAACCCACTGACTGTTCCCGTTCGTCATGCAGTTACGGTGGCATTTACGGAAAGAATCGGTTTCTGTCACAACGGACGTCCGAACACATTCCAATATGGTTATTACACTCCATGACGCAGCACAATCTCAGGGATCAACCTGATGCGAGAAATCCAGGGTTATCAATCCCAATGCTCCTCGTGACAACCGTACATTTCATTGACCCACTTTTATCTTTCGATTCATTGATACGTAACATGAAAGCTAGGCTCTTAGCTTTCAGCGAAACAATGTTAGTCAATTTATGTAGCCTAGTTTTGTCTGTTCAAAGTTTCTGACCGAATCAGTCAAAGTGCCGTGAGACTTATTCTAGAACTGATTCCCCCTCCATGACTGTTGTCCGTTAAGCAACTGTAGTTATCAAAACTGTCTTGCATATGCATCAGATTGCTTTACGTTGCAACGACTGGGGGAAAATAATGTTAACATTTCACAATGTTTATCTCATCTCTGTTCTAACCAAATGGGAAAGGGAAACCAATGTTTTAAGTTACAAAATATATCAAAATTTTAAGGTAAAACTAACAAAAATTGTTATTATTATAAGATAATAATAACAATTTTTGTCCACTATAGTTGTTTGGTCCCCGTTCCCCTCTATTTTGTATCTCGATCCTCTATTTTCTGTTATTAATGTTTTCGCTTTGGGACTATGCATATTCGAAATAAAAAGCACACAAAGTGCTTTCAGAAACACGCAAACGCAAACCCAAGAACGTGGCGTGTTTCACATTCATTTCATTGAAGTGCGGTTCATTGGGCATTAAAGGCTACATTCCCGCTTCACTTGTGAATATGGCACGATAAAAAGAAAGTAAACCAACTCTTGAAATATCCGCCTGAACTCGCAGACCCCGCACAAGACCGCAGTTAGCTGACAATGTGGTCTGTGAAGTTGCACGATAAATGCAAGAGAAAATAAAAGGTGTTGTTCACATGAAGCCTTGAGTTAAATTTATTAGTCCTCAATTGTGTGTCACAGAGGCTCTACTCTCACCCGAGACACACCAAGTGCTCTCAGTTCTTCTTCACAAACGAGGTTGTATCGCATCTAGAACCTGCTGCATTTGTGATCACATGCTTGTCTGCTTTTGAAGTGGTACCTAAAGGCTCGAGACAAATATATCCAATGGAGTTATCGTTACTTTGGTTCTGTGTGAGGATAGATAAGAAATAGATGACATGCATCAATAAATTAACGGAATGAGTAAGGTGGAGAAAGAGGCAGGCGACAGAGAGATGGGTACTGGCTTGTAATTTTTAAATTAGACTCACACGCTAGGAATAAATGAAACGTCATGACAGAGAAGAATTCGATGTCAGTTCCATATTTAACTAGCTGTACGGGTGGGTGTGGATTGTCGGCAATTAGAAATAAACAGGAAAAAATGAATTCCACTGAGGAATTATTCACGCTCTTTGATTCGAAACTCGGTCCTAACTGGGTCTCACTCGAATTCTGTATGAATTGAACGTTTACCGAAACAACATTTCGGCACCCAAAGAATAGGTATTTTACGTTTCTGCCCCCAGTTTGGTAGCATATGCAATAATGTCACACGGAATGAACCTTCTAAACCGTCATACCAGTCGCCATTAGTACTATGGACTAGTGTAAGTTTAGGGCTATTGTAAATGGCACATTGTTTGCACACGCAAATACCACTCATAGTTTATTTAGTACTTTCAATGTATTCAGGTATGCAGTCACGTAATGGGGCAGCATATTTAGTGGAGCCTGTTTCAACAAGGGTGCAGAAGCAACAACCGCACGACAGTTGAACAAGGGAGCTCGCGTCAAATTATTTTCCAATGGAATCTCTCCCCCAACCCCCTCCCCCTCCCCGTCCTCCCATCACTGTTTGTGCATCGCAGAAATCGGACTATAGGCACATTCTTCAGATACACATTCGTTAAAACTCTCCATTGAAATTCGGGAGTAATTCTACCGATTTACGTCTCGCAATACAGCTGTAGGATAGTTGATATTCTAGCTTTACATAAGAGTTACACATAGGGGTGGACCGGTGGCACTTTGTTTGGTGTTATCAACTAGCCAGACAGTTTTCTAATCACTGTCCTCCTAGCGGATGCAATTTTGTACAATTTCCCAGTGTGAATCTATGGCTTCATTCTGCATGCCGAAATTTTCACGGTAATAGACCGAACGGATCACCACGTGTGTCTGGGCGAGAATGTCAGAAGTGTTCAACAACGAGTTTTTGTTTGTGTGTGTGTGCAGTGAAAATGGTTTTAACGGAAATCAACTAATTACAGCAGGCCCGTAAATGAATGCATGAATACTGCGTTTCGGGATACTGGATATACCCTGGTGGTCGATCTTAACTTGAGTTACAACAATCACAAACAGATGTATTATACCGATTCCATAGGCCATATTACGGACAGTAAGTAAAAACCAATCAGAAGAAGGTTATAAGTGGCGGCCAGCATCTTCACACTTGTTTTCCCCTAAACGATATATATTGTCCCTACCCACCCACTCCCCCAAATTCGTTTAACACACCCAATCGCTCAATTACCCCATGTTTAAAAATTGTTAACTCGTAAAATGTGGTTTAACAACAACCACATCCAACTTATACCGTTCCGTTGAACTTTAAATTGCATGTTCAGCTTGATGCTACAGGAGTTATAAGACTGTTAATACGTTCAAACCTGTAACGATAAAGATTGGTAAAACCAACCCGAGACAAACATACTTCACTTCGTCAACCGTGACAAAATCAAACATCAACTATAGTGACCACAGGAACTGAGGTGTGCATTGGTTGGCCCAGTGGTAAGTAACACACGCCTTTCGTGTGAGGGCCCGAGGTTCAAATCCCTCACGGGCTGGTGGAAGGATACTGTTTCATGAGTTCTAACGAGAGTGAAATTCAACTTCGGTTCTTGCCTAGGCTATGGTTGATCGGATGAACTGGGAATTG